TGAAGATTTGTTATGCTAATGTTTGGCTTTTTAAAGTAGGCCCTCTTTTCCTCTTAATAGTGGACATGTTGATGTCACTAACATCATGTTAGTAATGATACTATATTTTAAAAAAATTATAGAGGTGAAAGCAAAAAATATCTGGTTCTGTGGGCCATTTTCTTGGACTTCCTTGTCATTAAATCTTATATTATGTTGGGCAAATCCAGCTAAATTTGAAATAGTTCGATGGCTAGCTACCTGAGTGCTACCATAGGTATTTCCATACAAATTCATGTTGGACTTACATATGTAAATATATGTGGTAAAAGAAATACAGAAAGTGGTCACATATCCCGGACAATCTGACTTAGAATTTCTTTCATTCCCTGATTTTAAAAAACACAATATTTCTTAAGTGCCAAAAATATTACCACAACAACTTTTAGAGTCTTCAAGACACGACTTATGTGTCATAAACAATCTTTTGCAACACTTACAGAGAAGGCAAATAAAGCAGACTTAGCCATTTTTACATTTTTGCTAGCTTAAGCATGTTGTTTCATGCATTCATAACCAAGAGCAACATGCCTATACTGGGCTGACAGATACAGACAGACTCTCTAATGGCTACATTTTTAAAGAAATTGCGGTGATGACAAGCAAAGTAAGCCTCTTCCTCAGCATCTCCTCTACTAATACAGTGTATGGACATTAGTTTCCTAAGTGAACTTGGAAATTATTTAGACTTCTAAGACAACAGAACTTAGGAAAGTGTTTCTGGATTTTTAACAATCTCAACTGATGTATTGCCTGTGTTTGTTGAACTGTGACTATAAATTTCACTGGACAGATATGTCTTTCTTTGAAGAAACTAAATATGATACTTTTCTATACCTTGGTATTAGACTGGTAGACACTTAGAATACATCAATGTGCAATCTTTGCTACAAAGTCAAACTAGTAATTTGACTTGGTAAGCCCTGCACTGAGCATAGGCTGAAGAGAAAGGATGAGGGGAGCTGTCACTGATGGAGGATTTCTGAAGTCAGGAAGGCTAACACTTTGGATACATGAAAGACTTATTTATAGAATCAGTGTATCTCCTATGGCACTCCTTTCTCTAACATGCCAGCCTGTATGAAATGATTAATAAAACAGAAATGGCCATTGAAGCTGTGATTCTCACATGCATTATACATTGTTATTTGTGATAGTTAAACAGTTTTACTCCACAGGAAGCCTGGTACAAAAATCAAGTACTTTATCTTCAGACACTGATCTGACCCTGCATTTCCAGAGAATAAACCTGTGCTTTGTTTAAAATGTACCCTTACTTACATAGAAAGACAGTCAGTTCAACTCCTTAAAAAAAGTATTTCAAAGAAATATGAAGAAGTCTGTGTTGTTATTGTTTTCATTTTAAATATAACTTTAAGCTTACTTTTTTTTTTCTGTCTGAGAAGATCATGCAGAAATACTTTCCTTTATTTTCTTCAGTACCTGTTTCTGTCTCCCCTTCTCTCTATGTATCTCTACAGAAATGGCCTTTTTCCTCCTATATTTCATGCCTCTCTTTCACTTTTTTTTCCTACGAAGACATCTCTTCACATTTCTCCAGTAATCAGTGTCTCTTTCATAACTTATCTAGTCCATTACATTCTACTCACCCTTGGGAAATACTACCAGAAGCCAACAACCAGAGCAAAAAATGGATTAGACAAAGATTACAACAAAATGGAACAAGACAAACTCACAAGTAAAAAAAGTTCATCTGAGTTCATTTTTTAGACTTAGCATAGAGGCTAGGCAGAGGAAAGCCTACAAATATGCTCTTAGTTCATTATGAGTTGTAGAATTGCAAAGAATTTGACTATATAATGGGCCATGTACTCTCTAAACTTACCTCAAGGTCACCTACCTGTGGTCTTGAGAGGATGCCATGGAAGGCAGCAACAAGCTCCTCCTTCTTGCAACCCATTGAACACCAGGAAATGAAGCTAGAATAAGGAAAAGTTGACAAAACTCTAGTTCAGACAAAGAAAAGAATCATGCGTCTCACTTTTCAGGACAGTTTTGCAAAATACATACCTCTGTTTTCTCAAGAGACCATTTTGTTTCCTGGTGATACATATTTTCAAACCCAGTCTGCCCACCCTGAGACAGCATTTGGTGGGTTAGCTTGGAGATCTTTCCCTCATCCCAAGAATGGGGATGCCTACAAAAATCATTTTTTCTTATGCATCCCAGCCTGAGTTGATTCCTCTCACTCCTGCTTCTTCAACATAACCCTAGGGTGCCATCAAATTCATTGCATTCCATCGTGACTTCAGAGGCCAAACCTACTTCCAAATGTGGACATACTGAATATACAAACAATAAGGAGTGAACTGGGACTTCAAAACTGTTCCAGATGTTGGCAGAAGGGCAAAACTGAGCCTGAGCTGTGACTCAGCTTTATACAGGGCAGATAAAACACCAGGAACTAAATTCTAATATTTTTTAAATGCCAGTGGGACTTTGGCGTTGACTTCAAGGGACAAGAAGTTCAGCCAAGGCAGGTAATGTGAAAGCAAAAGTGCTGCATTCTTTGGTAGATTTATTGTTATTGTTGGTTTTAGTATTAGCATTATTTCATTATTGCTATTGCAGTAGTTCTTAATAAGACTAGAAATAGAATAAGACTAGAACATATGACTAAAATGGTACATGAGCAACGATTAAAACACTAGAACTAGCATAGTACTATATTTTAATTTCCATTTACATATATATATGTTCTTATCAGTATAGATGTTAGGAGAGGATGTGTTCATTTGGCTTTTTGGCAGTATTAAAAATATTTTTCTTGTCATTGGGAAATGTTTTTTCTGTATATCGTAGCAATGTGATGTCCTGACTCAAAGCTTGTGCTCATGCATTTATTTCCTGTGAGTAATAGAATTATCTATGAAAAAAATATGATGTCCCTAAAATAGTACTTGCAAAGTGTTCTGAATGCTGAAAATCTAGCAGTAGGTTTACAGAGGTAACATTACAATTACAAGGTCATTTTAGTTGTAACTTTGCATCACTTTCAAGTGATGCAAACCCATCAACATTATCTCACATCCAACAGATTCAATTTCTGTGAAAATAGCAGGAAATGTCTAAAAAGGGTTTCAGAGTAGATTAATAGACAATGTTCAGATTAAGGTAGCTATCAGTTATCTATGTTACAGTAATTGTCAGCACAGCCTGAAAAGAGTCCCTCAACCTGCCAGAGTGCCATCACTGGCATATTCAAGCTCCTTGGCAAGACTAGGTTATTCTGTGTGATCTGTTTGATGTTGCTTTGGATTCAAGAACATCACCAAAATACAAAAACCCTTTTATTCAACAGCCTGAAGAAACACAATTGTATCAGAAGTTAGCTATACAGTTCTAGGCACTTGGCTACAGAGAGGAACAGGACCAGCCCTGGAGTTGAAGCTGGCTCAATCCATAGCTCAGCCCTGGGCAGTGGGTTCCCTGAGCAGCCCTACGGTAGGCAGCTGCAGACACAGCACAGGCACAGCCCCATGGCCCTCGGCATTGGAAGAGGTGGTGCCCAAGGTATGGGAGGACTGAGAGCATCAGCCTGGTGAACTGAAACCACTCTGTGGTACTGGCACACAGAGTAAACAATTCCTCCACTTGATTATTATTTAATCTTTTCTACAATGAACAAATACAATCTAGTTGCATCACACCCCAAACATTTTCATAGAGCCCCAAAGTACGATGGTTTTTAGTGACAGAAACTAAATCATATAATCATAGAATTTGCTGAGTTGGAAAGGACCCGTCAGGATTATTGAGTCAAACTCCTGGCCCTGCAGAGGACACCCCACGTATCACACCATGTTCCTGAGGGCATTGTCTGAACACTTTTTGAACTCTGCCAGGCTTGGTACTGTTGATCACTTCCCTGGGCAGCCTGTTCCAGTGCCCAACCACCCTCTGGGTGAAAAAACTTTTTCCTGATATCCTGATATCCAACCTAAACCTCCCTTCATGCATCTTCTGTAACTGGTCACTGCAAAGATCAATACCTGCCCCTCTGCTTCCCCTCATAAGGATGTTGAAGACACCAATGAGGTCTCCCCTCAGTCTCCTCTTCTCCAGGCAGAACAGACCAAGTGACCTCAGCCGTTCCTCATACGGCTTCCCCTCCAGACCCTTTACCATCCCCGTGGCCCTAGTTTGGACTACTCAATTTGAGTAGTGAACCAAGTCTTTGTTAAACAGAAAAATGATTTCCAAGCACGCCTCTTGAACATCGGTATTAACTTCGGCAAACGCTGGGCGGGCGGTGCCCTTACCGTCCCCGGGCGCCCTGGGCCAGCTCTAGGTGGCTCTAGGTCATCAAACGCGTTCCGCCCTCGACCCTCTTCCGGTGGCCCCCAGCTGGGCGAGGGGCGGCCACAGCGGGCGCGGGGGGCGGTGCTGCGGGCGCGGGGGGCGGTGCTCCGGCCCCGTGGGGGCGGTGCTGCTGAGGGTGTCAGCCCGCCGGGCTCCACCGGCTCTTCCCAGCCGCTCTCGGCGGGCGCTCGGCGAGACGCGCTGCGGCGGGTCGGGCTTCCCCGCCGGGAGCACCGGGGCGCCTTTCGGCGGCTGCTGGATGGGGAACCCTTTCCCGCCGGGCACTGCTGCGCTCGCCCCCTCACGCCGGCTGCGGGAAGGAGGACGGAGGAGCATGCCACCGGCGGGGCGGTTCCGCGGGGACTGACATGCTGCTGAAGGACGGCAGGTGCCAGCCCTTCCGCCTCTCCCCGCGGTAGCCGAGGCGATGCTGCAGGGCGCTCCCCGGGCTCTCCCGCAGGCGCCAGGCGATCGCCCACAGCAGCCGCGCTCGCTGCCGTGAGCAGCGCGGCTCCGGCCAGGCCGAGGCGACGAGCGGCGCGGGCCCGCTCCCCTCGGCGGGGCGGCGGCGGCGGCGGCGGCAGCGAGGAGGGTGCTGCCCGCACGCGCGGGCGGCTCCGCGCGGCGGATGCGTGTGCATGAGCGCGGCACCGAGCGGGCGCAGGAAGCGCCCCCGCTCCGCCGCCTCTATCTTCCAGGGAGGCAAGACCTCGCCACACGGCTGCGACAGCGAACGCCGGGGCAGCGGCTCCGATGGCGCCTACCAGACCCAGCGAGTCCTGGACGACTGTAAGATGGTGGGTACCGCCGGCGGGCTTGGCATGGTTTTCACCTTTCCCGAGCTCCCTCAGCGGCGGTGCCGCTCCTCCCTCCACGTTGGCTATTCCCATCACGTACAGTTGCACTGTTTTTAGAGCCTCAATCCCCGTCGGGGTGCTGCCCTGCACCCCAGCTCGCGGCGGCTCAAAAGCGAGACGCGCGGGGGTCGTGCTGGGTGCGGCGGGACAGGCGGGGCAGGGGCCGGGGTCGCCCGCCTTGGCAGTACTGCGGGAGCAGGAGCCCGAGCCCCAGAACACACACTGCGAAGCACTGGCGTTGCTTTTTCCTAGAACCGTCCAAATCTGTCCCCAGACTTGCGCTCGCTGAAGCCTAAATGGGTAAATAGTTGCCTCCAGTGAATCACCGCACTCTCTCCTTGCTGTTCTGTTCAGCAACCACATTCTCGCTGTAAAATCCTTCTAAAACAGGACTCTGAATTTGAGGCCCTGAAATTCTGTCCCTGGCATATGTGGTAACTGTTACTAGTCTTCCCGGAGTAGCTGATTGTCATTGTAAAGCCTCAGGTCAAACACCTGCATCTGTGTTAATTTTTGGACTGTCACATTATGGTATGAGATTTTTTTCCATTCATGTTAAAATGCTTGGATCCTGACACTTTCCTCCAGATCAGTGCCATATACCCCCTTTATGGCTCCTTGAGCTACAGTCAGCCTGACATTGGACCCCAGAATTGCTCCTCTAACCGGTGAGAGAAGTAGAAAACAAATGAAGTTGCCGCTACTTTACATGAAAAATCTGGACCTTGCTGAAGCTCTGTCCAGTAACATTGGAAATGGAGCTGCTACTTCTATTCTGCTGTATTCTGACAATTTTTTTCCCCCTCTAGAACTGAAAAATGTGCTGGCAGATTACCCACTCTGATACTTCAAAATTGGGAGCAATTCCCAGTGCACAGTGGAACAAAAGTTGCCACAGTAGGTCTATAAATATACCCAACAAGTGGATCTTACTGGGTTCTGCCTTTTTTCTCATTCCTGACGGCATAATGTGGTTAGTTACAGAGAAATGCTACCTTTGTAGAATTCATTGATTAGAAATAAAATATAATTTACAGATGGGTTGTCAAGTTGCAATAAGATTCAGGAGGTAAAATCAGTATGTTTCTTTCTTGTTCTCTGTCTCGATTCAGTAACATCTGTGTGGTTTTATTTTCCTGGCTGATGCTGAGGTGGCAGAATGAGTCTGTGTGGACAAGGGATGTTGGGTGAGAACAGGCGAAATGTGGCTGGTGCAACCAGTTATCAGTTGCAGGATATCATGCTTTTCTCTTTTTCCTCATGTAGCATAATCATACTATGACACAACTTAGTACAATTGCCTTTATGCATTCTCTTAATCTACGTAATGAGGGAGTTGAAGACCTGTTTAGCAAATATTTTGCCTAGGGCTTTGTTTGCTGTATGCTTTTTGGTTTGTCTGGGGGCAGGTGAGTGCAGATGTACTGAAGTGCACTTCGATTGATGTGCTGCTTCAGAAACAGAGAAACCTATTTGCTGTTCTTACAATGAAATTTTAGAAAGTGTGGCTAAAACAATAACTCAAGACCAGTTCCCAGCTATATAGAGTAATTGCAGTGGGATAAATGAAGGATCAGAATGTAATACTGCAGGAGAAGAGACTCGTTTATTCCTGAGCATAAGAATTTGGGGGCTTGACTTTAAATACTGGTAGCTCTCATAGACTCCAGGTTCTTAGCATGCTTGTGTATGTTGGTCAAGTTGTACTTCTGGTGGTAAATATGACTGCAGAATTATGAGCAATTACTCTTATGTAGTTTGGAAATTGAGGTCCAAACACAGATAAATAAATATTCTGTTCTATTACTCCATGCCTTCCACCCCTGCCACTATGTGGAGCAGATGGTCTTATGCACTTTCTTTCAGAAGACAGCAAATGCTTCATTTCCTTAAAATACAATCCCATGTATGTGATCACTGGAACTAAACAATAATGATCTTTCCATCTGTAAGATTACCCATGTATCCAGTAGCATCCGTATGTATCTGTTAGATATTGAACTTCTGTGAAGGCTGAACTGTTTATTTACTTTGTTGTTTCTTTCTCCCACACACGTTAGAAAAAGTGTTTTATGGAATTTTAACAGGAAAATGCCTGTCTGAGACACCTTCTCAACCAATAACTGCAGATCAGTTTTAAGTCTAAAATCTGGGTTGGAGGCAAGTGACAGAACAGAAATCATTACAAAATAAATTGGCAAAATTGCCAATGTGAAAGCAAACGCTACATTCCAATCCCTAAATGTACTGTAAATCAGGAAGCAGGATGAGCAAAGGCAATAATTTCTGGAGATATTTTTATCTTTTATGATAGCAAAAAATAACCTCATGTTACTAGTAAAACAGATTTTTTTCATCTGCTTAATATTTAATACTACTAGCTTAAACACTTTCAGATATTAAAAGCAGAAACACTGCTTTCCTACAGATGAACATTTATAGCTCACAAAACAAGCAGCTGCCACAAAGGCCCTAGTCATTTACTAAATCTTGGGCTCTTGATTCTGTATGCCCTGAAATTGTGAGCTGCAGGAACAAGCCCTGGATTGGGCATGTTTATAAAAAACTTGATTTCTTTTACCACCGTAGTTAAAAATTCTCATGTATGTAAATCCTCTTTGTTTTTCAGATTGTCCAGGAGTTCAATACCCAGGTGGCTCTCTACCGGGAGCTGGTCATTTCTATTGGGGATATCTCTGTCACCTGTCCGTCTCTGCATGCAGAATTGCACAAAACTCGAACCCGGGGATGTGAGATGGCCTATGAGGCTCATCAAAAACTAGCAGCAATTTCTGGGTAGGAGTCAACTTATGTTTAATTAAAACTGTATTCATGTGTAAATCTTTGTGAAATACTGCATTATGGAAGCTTTCAGCAAAAGCATTAACTTGTTATTCTGTTTTAGGCATAGAAGTGTATGACTAGAAATCTACAGAATGCTTATATCCTTATGATAGCATAATTTTGGTTCAAATCCAGGTCCCTTTACAAAGATAGTATCCTACTGATTTCACTGGATGCTTTTATGTAAGACAAACAGGATTTTATTGCGTATCACTACACAATTTAAAAAGATCAGGGCAGAAGCCATGCCATTCAAGGGTGAAATAGCAATAGCTTTCTGCCCAGTCCTGCATTGAGTATACCTAACTGAATAGTTAAAGGCAACTAGCTTAGCTCAACTAGATACTCAAAAAAATTAGACCAAAAACGATTAGGTGAAAATTGTGTGAGGGGAATACAAATACTAGTCTGAAAACTTGTACTTATATTCTCCATGTACATTTTTAAATCCTTATTTGTGTTGAAATAAGAATGGAAGCTTTGCTAGCATATAATGTTTTAATTTATTCTTTGGTATTACATTATATACATGCCTTTCCATGGTGACAGAATATATTATCACATACTTGAGACTATGCCTCAGTACAAGATAAACCAGCATAAATAGCCATGTCTTATAAAATGGAAATTTGTGCTGCTAATTATGTGTGGGTTCTTCACAGTATGGTGACTGGGGCGTTTGTATTTACACGTATCTCCTGAGTCGTGTCTCTCTGATTACACTTTGTCAGAATTTTCTGCATCTGCCTTATCTGCCATAAGCCATTGTGTACTACTGGAAAAAAACAGAGTTTCTTTTTTTGCAGCTCTGCCTAACCCCTGTTGAATTCCTTTCATCACTTTAATATATATATGAGAAATCTGTCGTAGGTTTAGCATATAAGGGAAAACCACACTCACTATACGGAAGAAGGAACTGGTCGATTGCTTTAGTAGGACTGTAAACATTTTCAAGTAAGACTTTGTGCAAAGACTCTTAAGTTGTTTTTGTGACCTCTGATTTGTTCCTCAAACAAAATGCATATTTTTAAAATACCAGAGTCTGTGAGAATTTTTAAAAAAACACCAAGCAATAGACATGGTTCTTTTAACCCATACACTGAAAATGTGAAAGCAAACAGTAGTGAAATTTATCTTACGTGTTTTCAGACTCAAAAGAAAAACTAATATAAACAAAATAATACATCTGAGTAGCTGAACCTATTTTGTAATTTTTTTTAATCTTTTTTTTTCCCTATAAAGAAAACCATTGATATATGCTTATGTAGAAGTACAGAGGTTTTTTTAAGTAATCATTTTGCAGTTGGGAGTCTGCCATATACACGAATATGTCCTGAAAGTTGCGCAGTTGCTGTGAGATTGACATTTAGCTAATCTAAAACTGTTCTAAATAACTGTGATAATAATGTCATATCCATAACAACTGGTAGGTGTTAGAAACACCGTGAAAATTAGGTGTTTGGCTTGACAGACATTTTACAAGATGTGCTTCACATCTCTGCCCTCCTGCAGCTGAGGAAAGCCATATAAAACAACATTTTTGGTGTATTTGTGAGGAAAGTGGGAAATGAAGGTAGAGCAAGGATTCGGTGTAGAAGAGAGTTAGAAGGAGAGGAGTAATAAATAGTCTCAGAGATTCAGTTTTTAATGCAGCAGGAGGAGTGATGTAGTGCCTATGGCATAGGATCTAGAATGGGAACCTAATTGAATAGGAAGAAAAAGTATCGGGAAGAAAAATGCTTAGGGACAGGAATGTATTAAATCATCCTCTATTAAATAGTCAAGAGGGTAGTGTATTGCTCAGAAACCACTGGTAGTCAGCAGATGACACAAAGGCTCATTTAGTTCACTGCTTTAGTTCAAAATGCACGACACTGCACTGTGCAAACTTCTGGGTAACACAACCAATTCTGTCTTCCAAAACTTTTTAAAGAAAGCCTGTTGCTTTCCCGCTGAGGGAGAATAATAGCAAACAGCTGTTTATGCTACTAGATGATAACATTTCATGACATAACAACATTCTATTAGTTAACGTCATCATTAATGTTCAGTTAGTCTCTAAGTGACCTACCTGAGGTGTTGCAAGGCAATCTTTATTTTAAGAAGTTGGCATCACTGTCTAAGAATACAACAGTAAGTTCATTTATCTTGTTTGTGCTGGTGTCTTCCTTTGGAAAATTAGCAGACCTTAATTCTTGTTTTAATATATCAGGATTTCACAGAATAGGCTTGGAGGGGACCTCTAGCAATCATTTGGAGATCACCTAGTCCAACCCCTATAGGCACCAGTGCACTTGAGACTCCTAAATGTACTCATGACTCAGGCAGTTAGAAGAGGCACCTGTTTCCCTTACTGACTCATCTGTTCTACAAGACAAAGGAAGATAACAAAGAGGAAAGGTGTAAAGACTTGGAAGGAAACAAACAAGAACAGATCCACTAGTGCTGAGAAAGGCAGCTTTGGGAAAAAAATCTGGGAATTGTGGGAAGGGAAAGAAATGCTGAGGCAGAGATAATGCATTAGGAACAGGACAGGATAGAAGTCATGAGGACAAAAAAACTTTGATCGTGGGTATATCAATTCTGGAATATTAGGCAGACATCAGAGTAGGACAGGGAACAAGAAGAGAAAGCTGCAGGTCTACCTGTAGAAAAAGTATACGCTGATATGCCAACAAAAGGAGATTCAACTATATGAACAAAGCGAAAGTCACACTTATATTTCAGCTATGGAGGTGAAGATTTTAAAAACTGAGAGAAATAAAACCAAACAAGATTGTGAAAAAGATGAGGAAGTAGCAAGGAAACATAAAACCTTATAAAGTCCACAATGAATTAGACCATATCACCCCCATCTAGCTCAAATCTGACAGTTGCTCATAACAGAGATTTCATTAAAAAATAAACAAGCGTACAAAAAACCGGCTGTGCACAGAACAATGCCTTCTCTCATGTTTTTGCCACTACGTAGGAATCGGTAAGCAAAGGTTGCATCTGATCAGTTTGTGTCTGATAAATATGAGTTCTCAGAAGATTTCAGGATTTGTGTAAGTATGAATGTCTTTTACTCAAAAAACGCTGAGGTTGAATAAGCACATCTTTACACTGTGATGTGTTTAAAATTAATTTATTAAAAAAATAAGGTTGAAAAAGGAAACTTCAAATTAAGTCTCCAAGTTAATAGGGCCTCATAGATGTTACATCCTCTTCTTAACTTTCTTTCTTATATATTTTTCTGGGGGAAATAGTGAAATTTTATCAAAGGAGAATAAAGATTAGAAATGAAAATAATCTAAATTGAAATATTCTATTTTAATTGATGGTCTTTTAGGAATGCAAGTCAAAGTAAACCCTTCTTTCAGTGTTGGTTGTCTGAGGACTTTAGGTAAATTCTGGCTTTCATAGTAAAAGTTCTTAGTGATTTTTAATGAATTGTCTTCTGAAGAAGGTGAGTAAGTTTTGGTCCTTTCATCATATTTTCTGCTGTATTAATGTCTCAGAAATTAAATATCTCAAAATATTTACATTGTGCACCCTTGTTGTATTGGTTGTCATAGTCAAAACTGGAGAAAGTACAGCAACAAGAAAATTAATCAGCATGATTTTTTCCAAAAGAAAGGAAAGGGAAAATACTTGTAACAACAGGAAGATGGGGGAGGAAAAGGAGCAAATCTGTGTTTTGGAAGGGAGTCTGCTTTATGGAATCATAGTGATGATATTTTAGAATTCATCAAATAGAGAGCCAGCTTTGTAAGTGAAGTCCACTAAGTCTGGGATATCAATAGAAAGATAACGCAGAACTGTATGTTAAGATACAGTTTTGCACAACTGTGCAAGCACTTTTCTAAATATTCTTTCATATTCTTAAGCACTTGATATGCTTACATAATGTGTGCACTTGGCACACTGAAACCAGAACTGGCAGTATCTCTGTGGCAGTCTGATATATATGTTGGCAGTGGCTTTTTTGCATGAAACAAAATTGTGTGACGAGCTCAAGGGTGTACATCTGTGTGAGCATAACTCTGAAATTGATTTTTCTTGGTGGTTCAGACTGCTGTTGCAATGTCTGGAATCTAAGAAGGAATAAACCCCTACACCAATACAGACAGGGGCCGGCCAGTTGGAAAGCAGCCTTGCAGAAAAGGACCTGGGGGGTTCTGGTGAACATCAAGTTGAGCATGAGCCAGCACTGTGCCCTTGTGCAAATCGTGGGCCAACAGCCTCCTATGATACTTCAGGAAATCTTGCCAGCATGTTGGTGGAGCTCATCCTTTCCTTCTACTCAGGGCTGCTGAGGCTGTATCTGGAGTACTGTGTCCAGTTCTGGGCTCCCTAGAAAAGAGAAAGTGACATATCAGAGCAGGTCTAGTCAATGGCCTTAAAGAGGCCATTGGTTGGGAGCAAGTGGCATCCAGCAAACAAGGAGAGGCTGACAGACCTGAGATTATTTAGCTTGGAAACGAAAAGACTTGGATGGGGATCTTATCGATGTGTATAAAAATACTTGATGAGATAGTGTAAAGAAGACATAGCCAGACTGTTCTCAGTGGTATCCAGTGATAGAACAGAAAGTACAACCTGAAATAAAAAAAAAATTGATTTAAACATTTTTTTAAACTGCTTTTTTACTGCGAGGCTGGTAGAATATTGGAACAGGTGCAGTGAGAGATTATAGTCTCCATCCTTGGAGATACTCAGAACTCAACTGGACTTGCCCCTCAGTAACCTACTCTAGCTGACACTGCTTTGAGCAGGAGGCTTGGACTAGTTTAGTTCTAGATGTCCTTTCCAGTTTGTGACAAAAATCACTGTAAATCTTCTCCTTGGGAAACTGCAAAGTTAAGGTTTCCTTATTTGACACTCATGTGCATCTGTTACTCTTATAAAATAGTTAATTAAGTTCCCCTGAATTCAAGAAAAGTTGAGGAAGTAGACCTAAGAATCACATC